ATATATCGCCGGTAAACTCATGTTTGGAGTAAGATTGTCGTACCCGGTCGTACTATGATCACGTGCTCACAAGCCGTCGTTTGCGTTACAGTTCGTTTTCAGGTATCACAGTATATATGACCTCATTGATAAAATATCACTTATATCGAAAGGTCCTTGAAAGATTCCAAGAGAAAACCAGAGACAATTTTTTAGGTTTCCTTTTGCTTGATTATATATGTATTTAACTTGAAGTGACTTCAGCGTGGCTTGACATTAATTAAGCACAATCTAAGCCTTAAATTTAAGCAATGGCTTAAAGCTACGGCTTAAATCTATGGCTTAAATCTATGGCTTAATCCTATCGCACTCGCTTGACCTAATAAGCTTTAAACCGTAAAAACATCAGGTACGGTTTAAAATTTCCGGAAAAAGGCATTATGCGGAATTATGCAGAAACATCAAAATCTGGAATTCGGGAAATGAAGATCCGAAAAATGAAAATGTGGAAAATTCGAAAATATGAAAAAAGGATATATAAACCCACTACGATACTCTAAAAAATTTGGATTGCATCCTGATATTATTTTCAAACCTGCTAGAATTAGATTTAATTAATATCAAATTCTGATTATTAAAGTATAGTATGTATAATGAATAAGCTATAAAAAAGATGTGCTGTAGCTTCCACGGTTAAATTAAATGCAAGCGATCGGTGCATTTTGATTTTGCATTAAAATGAAGCAAATCTACCTTACAACGTTTATGCTTGTTTTATTTATTTGTAGTGCTCATCCTCAAGGAGTTTCACGTGATAATGATACTGATACAATTACTAATGAGTGTCAAAGGATTTCTGACTATCTTAGCACAGGTGCAGAATATCTTAATTACTCAGACGTGAAAGCTTGCTATGATTCAATTCCATTTAATAAAACTAAGGCAGCTCAGGTATTGGCATTTAGTTGCTTTTTTAAGAGGTAAAACTCGGTATAATTGTGTTACTAATAAAACGCTTATAATGTGTTTATCAGACAATCGAGACAGTAAAAGAACTTTTACAAGGATTTTATACATTTTTAGATCAAGCGAAGGAAGAACCAAAAGCAGGATATACCTTTACACCTATTGATTTAATAACAGAATTAGATTTGTACTTAAATAGAAATTATTCATATGAATATGAATTTATGGTAAATAAAATAAATCGATTTATAAATTTATTCAAATATATTATCGTTATTAATTAGTTGAATTATTTCAATTATGTTAGTATGATATTGGAGATCTCATTAGTGAATTGAGAGATGGCCATGCTTTGTAAGCTATTCAGTATAATTACAGAAGTACAAATATTAAATTTTATATCTCACATGTCTTATAATATGTTCTATAATAGCTTCGCTTCTACAAAATTTTCATATTCTTTTTATCAAGGATTTTCTATGCATTCTGTTATTAAACCAGATGGAACACAGGTAAATTTTTGCATAATTAATAATGTATTAATGTCCAAAATTTTGCGTATGACTTACCTACGTACGTGAATAATTAATTTTTAGCAAATTAAGGTTTTTGATGACATAATAGATCCAAGCACTATTGATTGTCAAGTTACATATATAGATGATAAACCTGCAATTGACGTGATTACTGAATTCGCTCGTAATAATATAAGCATGTCAAGGGATTTAAATGTTCGCTTTAATACAGCCCTTGCATCCCTTGGTTTTGGAAATAGGGATTTTATTATATATGGACAATATTTCTCAGTTAGACAAAAATTACCTGCTGATCCAACTATTTCTTACACGCTCAATTGTAGTGATAAAATTTTTAACATTACTAGAGAATGGATAGTTCCAAATAGTGAGACTTTGAGATTTTACCCAATACTTACAGCTTATAATTCTTCATATATTAATGAGACTTTAGTTGGCAACGCATCTTTAATCTTTGATGCAATTTTCTCTAGATTTTATACATTACAAGACTTTGGTGTGGTATTAATTTCAACTGAAGACACTACAGGTTTGAAACTTGACGACACCATTCATTTTTTGACCAATATGATCGTTGGATTTAAATTATTAGCTGATAAAGGTATAACAAAGGTAAATTATTTATAATTTATAATATACCGTATTATCATTTATTTACAAATATTTATCATTTATTTATTATGTAGATCGTTCTTGATTTGAGTAATAATCGTGGTGGAGCAGTCATTGTTGCAGATTATATTATTAAACTTTTATTCCCTGACATAAAGATTTTTCCTCAAGATATAAAAGTTACAGACGTATCTACAGCTTTTATAGAAGAAATTTCTAATGCAGGTGTTAATAGTTTATTTAGTTATAAATCATATACTTCAACAATTACAAATAATTCATTTGATAGTGTCAATGAATTTATTGGAAACAACACATATACACGTGGTGATGCGCAAGTTAAATTTACAACAAAAGCATTTAGAAATGACTCATTATTCTCCCAAATTCTTCCGGTTCCTCCAAAATTTCCATGGACTGAGGAAAATATGGTTATTTTAACAAATGGTGCTTGTTATTCATCATGCGCACTTATAGTTCAGCGATTAGCTGAAGTTAATGTTCCAACCGTATCTGTCGGTGGATTTCCAAATACTAAATTTTCCTTTGCAAGTTGCGCTGGTGGAACAGTAATGGACAGTGATATTATTAGTGCTACTCTAAATAATTATCAAAATCTTAGTAATTTAGCTTCTAGGTTAACTCTTTCTCAAGAATTAATTTTAAGGTTCGTTTGTGCCGAAGTATATAGCATTAATAATCCCGACGAAGTTTTGGATTTTTCCTTTAGACAAGCAGATTACCAATTGTATTATGATGAACTAAGTGCTAAAGATCCAAGTAGTTTATGGTTACAGGCGGAAAAATACATCAAGAAACGTTAAAAAATCCTAGATATAGTGATCGTGTATTAAAATATCTAGTTTACATTTATTCAGATAGATTATGATAAAAACTCTTCCAGTTATAATATTTAGTAACTTGTTATTTCTAGCTTAACTCCATTGATAACGAGAGTTTTGTAATAAAATTTTCCTGAAAACTATAGTCACTTTACACGAATCATTCTGGCGGCTTGTTTACGTGATAATGATATAGCACCACTTGAATGTGTGCCAAACAGTTGATAGCGTAACAATCTGCAAACGTAATTATAATTTTTGCAGTTGTAAATTGCAGAGTTTAAAAATTTATATGGTTAATTATATTATGAATTTTATCATTCTGTATACATTCAACTCGGTTAATCTGCTATCTGTTAAATAATAATTGAAGATAAATACGGTTGATATTGTCTAAATGCATATTGTCGGGAATTTTTCTTAACAATTATGTATTTAAATTAGTGATCCAGAAGAATTGTCGTAACTTTTCGTAATTATAGTAATATAGTTACGATAACTCAAATGATCGACGCACCCAAATTTTATAAGTAAAATTTAAGCAAAATTTGCTTTCGAGGCTTATTTAACAATAAAGAAGTTGTGGTTTAATTTCTAGGTATTATTTTGCAAATTCTCTAGCATTTGAAGGTTCTTTTCATGAAATTTCAAATAAACCCCAAAAGAATCTTAATCACGAAGTTAGCCGATTT